TGGTGCAGTTCCTTCCACCGGCGGGAGTGTCCGTGCAGAGTGAGGAGCTGAAGGGAGCCGTGGTCCGCGTGTGGGGGGCGTTGAGACCCATGTTGCAGGCCAAGTTGACGCCGAGACAGATCGGGCCGATCCTGGTCCTCAGTGCCTGTCTGCTGGATTTGCACGGGTGGGAGCCGGTGGGGCCCCCGAAGTTCTGCTGCTTGCTGGTGAACCGGGCCTGCGTGGAGGTCAGAATGGGTTTGGAGGAGCCGCCTGGTAACGAGCTGAGCCCAGAGCTGCAGCACACGCTCACAGGTAGGGACGCTGCATGCACGGTGAGACCGTGTGGATATTTGATCAAACGCAATTAGCCTCTTTTTGTTACTTAAGCAGCTCTGCTTCCCCCCCCAGGCTGCTACCGGATCATGGAGGCCGCCATAGAGCAGGCCTGCTGTATGGGACTTTCCCAGACCCCTGAAGCTCCTCCGAGCTCCATCCCCTCAATCAGTCTGCAGCAGAGCAGGCAGGTCCTCGGGGTGTTGGAGGAGGCCTTCTCCGCTTTAATGTACCACCTGCAGCAGGTGAGAGGCTGACGTTTAAGCACTCTGTTCTTCGTCTTCTTTTAATACTATATTTTATACCATATCTGTACTACCTTTTTTTGTTCATTCTCTTCTATTGTACCTTTTGGGATGGATTGGACAAAAAGTCATATTTGATGACATGGACGTTTGGTGCAGTGATACTGCATTGTGTTCTCTGATGCTTCATAGACTTTTCAACGAACCAAGGATACTCTGCAGATTCATCGTTTCAGCTCCAGCTAACAAACAAGCCTTTGAGCTGTGAATACTTATGAGTTGAATAGAGCTCCGGTGCATCCTTGAGGTTTCTAAAGCTTAACTGTACTTGCTATATTGGAATACTTACGTACCATTACAGCTAAGGAGACAGGAAAGCCCAGTTATATCCATCCATCCATCCATTGTCAGACCGCTTATCCTGCACACAGGGTCGCGGGGGGGCTGGAGTCCATCCCAGCCAACTTCGGGCGATAGACAGGGTACACCCTGGATTGGTCGCCAGCCAATCGCAGGGCTACACAGAGACACACAACCATTCACACTCACATTCACACATCTACGGGCAATTTAAAGTCCCCAATTAACCTGATCCCCAGAGCATGTCTTTGGACTGTGGGAGGAAGCCGGAGAACCCGGAGAGAACCCACGCAGACACGGGGAGAACATGCAGACTCCACACAGAAAGGCCACTGGGCGGAATCGAACCCAGGACCTTCTTGCTGTGAGGCGACAGTGCTAACCACCACGCCACCGTGCCGCCCGCCCAGTTATATAATATACATTATTTATCTCCAATTTAATTTGAGGTTCTGTATTAAAAATGCTTTTATTTGTTGAATACAAAATCTCCTCGGCTCTTGTGGTATGGCCTTATTTTTTACAAAGACGTTGTCTCTTCCTGTCCTTGTAGGTGGAGCCAAGTCGCTACGGCGACCCTTTTATCTTTGCCACGTTCCGCTCTCTGTGCTCATGGCTGGCCGAGGAGACCTCCTGTCTGAAGGAGGAGGTGACGGGGCTGCTGCCGTTCCTGATCGGCTACTCCAGGAGCCACCTGCAGGGCGAGAGCCCAGAGGAGGGCCTCTCCGCCTGGATGGCCGAGGTGTCCGTCAGAGAGGAGAGGGCGGCGTGGACGGGCAGAGAAGCTCTGAGGTAAACATGACGGTGCATTTCAGAGGGAATCAACATTCTGAATTTCTTAAAGCCTGCTCTGGTCTGACAGCATGTCTCCTTTTACTCCGGTACCACCTCCTCCTCCCCCTCCCCAGGTACCTCCTGCCAGCCCTTTGTCACCTGTCCGCAGAGGAAGGTCCCAGGAAGGTGCTGCTCACCCTCGACACCCCGGCCCTCCTGGTGGACTTCCTGTCTCGGTGCTGGACCGCCCCCAAGGGGAGAAGTGGGGTGGCGTCGGCCAGGGACCCCAGCATGGAGACGGCCTGCTCGGCCCTCCTCAACTTCACCGTCACGGAGCCGGAGAGAGTCAGGTAGCTTTTTTACGAGATTAATCGTAGCAGATTAATCGTCTGTTGTTCCATGTGTTAAATACTGAGATATTACCGCTCATACTGACGGTTTATGAAGGGGTCAAATTACACTTTACATCTACTTGTTGTCTAGGAAGGACCAGAGTTTCAGAACTTTGGAGGCCCTTCTGAGTGAAGCACTTCCTGTTCTGGTGCACAAGCCCCGCCTCCTGGTCCTAGCAGCAAATTTCTGCACTTTGGGGCTGATGATCGGCAGACTCAAAGTGGCTCCTTCAGGTGGAGGTATTGACTTTATTTTCCGGTTGTGTTTGGCATTAACGGCCGCGATTCATTTCGTGCGAATACATTATGCTTTGACCAACAACTTTATTGTTCTCGCTTTGGTTCTCCGAGATGTAGATTGGAACCATAAGCAGCGGGTAAAAGAACCAATAACAACTATGACTCTTTGACAACATTCTCCAGGCTCGGTTGAAGGCGGCCAGAGGCGCCTCTTTTCCGCAGCTCTCCGGTTCCTCCGCAGCGCCCTGGACTCCGGCTCCGGCCCCGGCCCGGTAGAGGTGAGCCCCGCCTGGGAGGAGAGCTGGGACGAGGCGGCGGAGCTCTGGAGGTTGTGCCTGCAGGCCCTGGGGGGCTGCGTCCGCGCTCAGCCGTGGATCGCCGGCCTGGTCCGAGAAGAAGGTTGGCTCAAGCACACGCTCGCCATGCTGAGTCGGTGCAGCGCTCTGCCCGACCAGCACACGCAGCAGGCGCTGGAGGAAGCTCTGTGCGCCATGGCAGACCAGTGCCCAGGCTGTAAGAAGGAGATTGGAGACGCGATGAGGACAAATAAAGGAGCTCTGATGTGCATGAAGAACCTGAAGAAGTCGGCGGGAGTGAAGTGAAAAGGGAGCCGACAGACGCCGTGATCTTTGCTGGAGGACGTTTGAAATGAAATAATAAAGGAGGGACGTTACTGAAGCCAAACGTCTTCGATCCTTTTACCAATCTGACATGAATACGTGTAACCTTTCTCTTATGCGCCAAGTGTGCAATGTTAATGTCTTTAATAAAGAACTATTTTGTTAGAAAACCAACCACAGTGTCTCTCCGCCCATGTTCTCAACCTTCTATTTTCTTTGTTGCTTTGAACACCACAAACTTGTTGAACATTGACGTTTATTTGTAATAAACAAATGGGCTGGTAGAAGCTGTCAATGAGACCGATTGGACTCATTTTTGTGCGGGATAAAAACGTGTAATATTCCCTTCCGGTGCACTGCAACAACTCGTCAGAAGACATGAAGCCTAAAGGTCTTTCAAATGTCTGCCCTTATTAATGCTGTCAACAGAGGGGGATTTATTACATGACAGACTTTCCTATCAGGTCATCGTGTAGCAATGCAGGAAGGGGCGTTATACGGATGTATTGTTTTTTTATTGTTCTGGGATTTTAATCGTGTCACAACTGCTTTGTTTTTTAAGTCTTTTGCCACTCGAGTCCAAGCAAAACGTCGGCAGTTTTGTATAAATGTAGAATACATTTTAATCCGTTTGGTCAGCAGGCTTCTCTTGAGGTGGCGAACTGTGCCTTTGCATGAACCGCCACAAGGTGGCGCAGTGCGGCTGGTTCGGATCTGATGTGTGCGAGGTTTTTGTCCATCCCGAAATTTGTTTGTGTCTTTGCAGGTAAACTGAAGTTTTTTTTTTCTTGTTTGATGTTTTCCTACTAATTCTGATTCATCGCTCAGGAAATTAGTTTGGTCATTTTGTGCTTCGAATCTTTAGAGAAAGTAGATGAAAAATGTTGAGCGTGTTTTAAAGATGCGAATTTGGGACATTCGAAGGAATTGCAGTTATTAATGCAGTGCTTTTGTGAAAAAGCAATAAGAAGTGGTGAAAAGGCGACTAATCTGAAGTTTGATTTGAATATAGCTTTACATTTACTCTGCAAACATTTGGATAAATACATAATTGTCCCAGTTTATAATGTTTTAAACTTACATGGATCCAGAACAATGTTTCAAAGGAAACAAAATCCGCTTTTTTGTGCATCTCGGGAATCCTTTGCTTTCTGATTATTTTCCTCTTCATCCCTGGTCCCATATAGTCCACGCAACACGCAGTGAAAAGTTTCACCCTCTCCACGACTCATGTCACCTCCCGCCCTCTTTCTCTTTGTCCCCGCCACCCCCCTCCTCCCCTGTGCAACATCCATCCATACAAACTCCTGCATCATCTCCCAAACTAACTCACTCCTCTCCGCACCTTCAGCCCGTCTCCTCTCCATCCACGCGTCACGTTAACCCCTCAGCTGCAGCGTGACAGCCGCGCTGAGAGCCACCGGCACCGCCGCCATGCTGTGGAAATCCCGAACCAAGACCGAGCTTCAGGTAAAACGAACCGCGCGTTCCCCTGTTTCAAGTGGTGTATTTTTTTTTTAAATATCTCATGTTCAAGATGTTTTAGGGCTGTTTATGTAAGTCCATCATCGCTGCGCGAAGAGCTGCATGTTTCGGGCCTGTTTGGTTTTTAAAGAGAAAATGCAGAAAACGCACTTATGCACGATTCCGTCTGAGTGAAATTTTGGGAGGAAAATGAAAGAAAATGCATTATTAAATATGGGATCCAATATTTCTAGATGGAGAGACCTGGAGACCCGTGCGTAAAGGCGACTCAATCAAACGTTAAAAGTAGGAAAATGTGAATTTATTTTTAAAATATGTTAATTAACAAGATGTTTCTTAAATAACACATGGAAACTCATCATCGGTGCGTAAATTCCAGAATACGAATCGGTGCCATTTATTAATAAAACGTCTCAAAAGAGAATAAATGTAAAAGTACGTGGTGTGTGTTTGAATCAACGGAAGATAATTGAATGAAAATATCTCTTTAAGAGAAGTGGACCCTGTCGACCCCTCCCCTCATTCTGCCGAGTGCGCGCAAAGCCTATAAATGGTGCGCTCACGGAGCGTCTGGAGGACTTCGTGTGTGTTGTCGTGCGTGTGTTGGTATCTGGCAGCAGCGTTCCATCCGTGCGTAAAGAGATCCGTCAAACGCAGACAGAGTGAAGGGAAAAGTAAATAACGCCTTTGAATTTAATGGACCGGTGAAAACAACCTGGATTACATCTCGGAGCACCTTTCACTCGTTGGACGCTCGCGCATCCTGTTGAATATTACATTTGGGGTCAGCCAGAGCGGTCCAGATGTTAATCCACACCTATTCGGCAATGGTGAGTTTCATAAAAACTTTGTTTTTAACCTTCTTGGAATTCATGTAGTTTATTTTATTTTTACTGTTGACGTCTGTTTGTTACTAACTCAATTTGAGGAAATAGTTTGTTTTCTGCGCCAAGTTGAACTTGAAAAAACTTACTTAAAAAAAAAACTCGGTTCGGCTAATTAAGGTCCGGAAAAAAATATTTTATGATTTAATCAATACGTTGCTTTTCTGGACAACACTCACCTTGCAGAGCATAATGGCCTCTGGGAATTCTTTTTTCTATATTCTGTCTGACAAAAAAAAAAATCCATTTCTGATAAATGTTGTTAGTCCTTTGGTCTCCAGTAGAACCGAGCGCTCCGTGCGTCCCGGCGAGCCTCTGTGCCTCACAGGTCAGTGTCGCGGCGCCGGGCGTCTGTCCGCGCACAGTAAGCTGTCATCTCACCGCACAAACTGTCACGCGCCGAGACACAGCGGCGGCGCGTCTCTCTGGGGGAGCGGTTCTCGGGTCTAACAGCGACTGAAATGACCAACACGCGACCCGGTGATGGGTGACGGATATGAGTGCTTTTCAGCGTGCCGCCTGGCACATAATGGACATTGTTCCACAACAGAAGCATTGATCTGGCTGACCTCAAAACCGAAAAATCCAATTCGACCAGGATGTTTGTGAGCGGAAATGTGGGCTAGTGGACTACATATGTTTGGCATCTTGTTTTACGCGATTGGGTTAAACTTCTAAAGCCAAGTGTAAAATCTCGATTGGTTTAATGCGCCCCGGAAGCCGGAATTAAAGCCTCTTTCATAATTATTTTTCACGTTGTGGTTTAGTTGACACGATGACGGATTGTTTACGGATGCCCCCCCCCCCCCCCCCCCCCCCCCCCCTCGTGTTGTGGTGCGTTACCTGTCCTTTGTGCGGCTTCTTGGTGGCCGTGACCTTTCTGACACTGTTCAGCGGCGATGCCGAAGGCGTCGTGTGCCAGTGCGCATCACTTCAAGCGCTGCTGCTGTTTCCAGCCATCGGATACAGATGGAGAGACGTCTGTTGACGGGTTGCAGCTGTTTTGTGTTGAATTACATTTTTTCTTTATTTATATATATATATATATATAGGGAGAAAAAACTAATAATAATAATTTAATCACATAACATAACATGTAATGTTCGCCAGCATTTGGAAAATAATTTTACGAGGAGGACATTAAGCTTCATGCTGTGAAAAAACAACTGATTTCATTTTTCCACAGGAGCGCGCAGATGGACTCAGCGGCTCTTCGCCGAGTGGGCGACTCTCCCAACTTTCTTCCCTGAACCAGGCCGCCTACTCCTCGGCCCCCCCGCTCTGTCACACTCCGGCCTCCGACTTCCAGCCTCCGTACTTCCCTCCCCCTTACCCCCAGTCCTCTCTGCCGTACTCCCAGAGCCAGGACTCGTATCCCCACCTGTCAGATCCGTACACTTCCATAAATTCCCTCCATCAGCATCAGCAAGTGGCGTGGCACTCGCAGAGGTCGCGCTCCGACGACGGGGGACTCCTTTCACAGTCACACCGGGCTCTTAGCCTCGACCCCCGGCGGGAGTATTCAGCTGTCCCTCGGCTGCTGCACGGTCTGGGTGAAGGAGCTGCCGCTCTCGGGGACGGTCCCCTCGGGATGCACATGGGACATCACGGCCTCGACGATCTTCAGGTGACGTTTTTTTTATTTACTCGTTTTGGTTTTGTTGGCGCTGCGCACCGGGAAGACGGTGCGTAAAGCTCCCCAAATCAGAGGCCCCGGACATGAACTCTTTAAGAACGAAATCTCCATTGGGCCTCCTCGGCACTGTATTTTTATTTATTCCGATATATGATAATGTACAAAAAAAGGCCCTTAAAAGCATTTAACATCCACTTCTTTAAAACGATAATTCATGGAAAATATCTCGCATTAACAAACACTGCATACTATCATCATCATACAATCCTTTGAGTTTATTTGCAATGTTTAAAATGTTATTTCTATTTAAATAACTTAAATTAGGTCATTTGACATCATTTACATTTCCCACAAAAATCACACCAGTAGTTCAATTTTGTGTATTTTAAAATAAGTAAACAAATGTGCGTCGGAGAGACCAAAATAAACTGCCGCTTTTGAATTGCAATCAAATACACAATTCCACAATAAAATTAGCCAAAATTCGTAATATTTTCTTCATATATTCTTCCTAAATTAACGAATAAATACACGTTTTTTTGTTTTCTTACATTTTAATACTTTTTGAGACAGTCTTTGGAGGTAAAATGTATCTTGATAATTCATGGTATCATCGGGAGTAAGTTCATTTAATGTTTTTGTGAGATCATGTCAGAGGTGTCCGTCGTATTGTTAGTCGGGACATTTAGTATCACCCGATGTCTCGCGCAAAGACAAAGTACGTCTGCAGCATCTCCCTTTCTGCAGTTATTTTTTGAGGGGGGGAGATATGGGCGGGGGGGGGGGGGGTGCAGAGACGAAGAATAGTTTCTATGGCTTATTGAGCAGTCAGCTTCCCTGCAGCAGGTGCAGCTGCAGACGCCTGTTTGTTGCCTCACAGAGTATTAGAAACACACACACACGCACACACACACACAGACACACACAAACCGAGACCAATTGATGTGCGCGGTCATTAATAGAAAAGAAACGTTTGCAAGCAGCGCCACGCAGGGAAGGAGTCAACCCGGCCGTGTTGCTGTTAAACGCTCCCTCCTGACAAGGACCTTTATTTGATTAATGGATTATATCCTTCGTCTTTGAATCCTCTTATAAATTCACCACAAAGGAGACATCCGAGACTCGCCCTGTAACACAATCCCATCCTCAGTGAATGAAAAGATCAAACAATATGCAAAGACTTTAATTTATTTATTTTAATGTGTGTACCGAGGGGGCTGTTTTTGATCATTATTCAATCACTTCTGCCCCTAATATGCACATTCTGAAAGAAATATATATTTCTTTATGTTGGAAAATGACTCAATTTCTTTAAAACAAAATTGATTATGAGAAAAAAACTACCCTTCAGTTATTTGAACCAGTGCATTATTTGTATTGTTTAATTGCATTTTTCTTTTTCTTAATATTTTCAAACCAACATTGAGCATACAAACACCACAACAAAATATTCCACAAATTCCCATCGATCTACAAATTAAAACATTACAATTCTTTTGGAACTACAAATGAACTGTTGAAAATCCTCCGGCCTAACTCCCGTGATTTACTGTCTCTCCACGCGCTCAATTCTGCACAAGCAAAAGCAATCCAATAAGAGTAACAGACTTCATTATTTACTGTGATATGGATAGTTGCTCATGTGCTGCGAGGTAAAACCTATAACGCTGGACCGTCCATCTTGCTTTGGCCTGAGAGAAAAACCTATGTGTGCATGCGTATATATAAGTGTGTGTGTGTGTGTGTGTGTGGATAAATGATAGTGACTGTCTGTCTGTCTGACACAGGGAATGGAGGAAGGATCAGCCCTGGGCATCCTCGACCACTCTGTCATTAAAAAAGGTAAGAGGTGGGAGACAGTTCTGTGTGTGTGTGTGTGTGCGCGTCCGACCACATGTAGGAGGATGTCTCTCCGTGGGCCTTCGTCTAGTTCGCCCCTCTCATTGTCTTGGCCCGCCCCTTCCTTCTCAACTTCCTCGTGGGTATTGTCCGACTGGGCTTCCGAGACAGGGTGAGGACCGCTTGCTTCTCAGAGAGCTCACACCCGATGTGAAGTGTAGCAAACTCGCATACTTTCCATACACACCCCTGCCAAAGCGCTGGTTTCCTCATTTTTCCAGCGAACACTTGGCGAGAGCCCTTCCTCCGTGACCTCTTCCGCGACCGTTGAGCACGGTTCTGCAGATGTAAACGGCGATGAGGTAAACGTGAGTTCCTCACAGCGACCTCGGCCTCATTGTCTTTACTCTTAGCAGCGTCTTTTCAAGCTCATGATTTTGACATGAGTTTATGAGGCGCCTGATCTGTGATAATTTGCCACCGCAGAGATCTCAGAACCGAAACCAGACGGCGCTGCGCTGGTGCAAAAAGCGTGAAGAGTGGTCATTCTACGTGTTGTCTCCCCAGAACAGGTAAGTCTCACACGCACACACTCATGAACACACACAAAGCAGGACTTAAC